CGTAAAAGTGAGAATGGAATCTTGTTGAAGGAAGCTAAAGTGATTCCTGCAAATTCAAGAAGGATCATAGAACAGAGTTTAACAAGTGTTTTATATTTGTAGTTTTAAATGTGTCACTTTCTCAATACAAAAACTTTTTTAAAAATCGTTCAGGTTGGCCATGATCCAAAGGGAGAGTTCGGGATTCAGCATCCGAGAAAGAATTCTAGTTGAGAATTAGGTATTCCTTTGTCGAACAGTGACATCCAAGCTGCTAATCTGGCAGATCCGTCACAGAGGGCACTGACAGGATCAGACAGAGGGACTTCTGGCTTATTGTCATGATGTTGATGGGGGAGATGCCATATTGAAAAGTTCAAAAACAAAAGCCAGTTTAATCCTATTAACTTATTGCAGAAAAAATATTCTAGATAACTCCATCGGGTTGGTATGCCATGTGAATACTTCTTGTAGGATTTCTAATCATCCCTAGTCTTGGCAGAGGGGTATGCATTACCTTGCCTTACAACAGTATTCCTGTAATTCCCTAGCTTAAGTGAAAGTGTAGTGTGTAGGATGAAGATAGCTTAAGTGCAATATGTATTGGCAGAGGGGTATGCATTACCTTGCCACATACAGTATTCCCTATAATAGAAGAATGTAGCTTAAGTGTAAAGTGTATGTGTAGGATGGAAAGATGTACTGTGGAAATATAATCTTAGTAGTGATTACAAGACCAGAAGCAACTGAAATCTCATAGCTGTTGGTGTTATTAAATTATTTCAGATTTCATTGTAATGATTGGTAATGACTTGAGACTTCCAAAGTTAAGATTATATGGAAAGAAATGGGTATGGGTAACTCCTAAAGAAATTCCGTAGTTGACTTGTCAAAAATAAATTAAATAATTTTCACAGTCACGAAATGCAGGACACTGTGGAGACAGAGTGGTTGAGTTGTCAAAGGAAGATACAGCTGGACGTGACTTTGTTGAAGTCCGTGCTTTTGAGGTAATGGTTAAGAACTTTGTTCATTGATCTAATCATTTTAATGTTTGTCAAGATAATTTCCATCGTCTCTATATTATAGCATTTCTTAATCTGTGGCTCACACCCTAGGAGATTTGATTGGGTTGTTGATGTATAATGTCCGCACTTTATAAAATAAACCCAATTGTGTCATTCTTCCTGTTCAATATATTATTTTTATTGCATATAATATTTTTTACTTGCTTTTTATAAAATTCGAAATATTTTGATGTGCATACCTTTTCTGTTAAAAACAGCTACCCAGTGTATGCTGTCTACCAGATATTAAGAAGGATTATAAGAAAGAGAACACCATTTTTGTATTAATATGTACCATTTTCTTCAAATCAGAGTAATGGCCTGTGTGTTCGATACAACTTCATCACAAGAGTTTATTCTTCTACTGTCAAGAGAGAGTTAAAAGCTATTGAGGATGGAGAAGCACCAATTCCACATGTGGTGATCATGAACTCCTGCATTTGGGATTTAACACGGTAAATATAAAGGAGACGATATGGGTAGATCCAAGGAAAAGAAGGTAGTTTCCTTTATCTGTGTATCTGTTTCTGTTTCTGTTTTTTGTCTTGCATTGTCTGGGCTTGTCTTGTCTTGTCCTCCAAGGGTTTTTTGTACAGAGCATAGTAAATATTTACTCATCTTGTAAACAATTACATGTCTTCAATTATTAAGAGCAGTACTATAAATACTGATTTGAATTTTGTTGTAGGCTATGGTGATCCTGATAGTGTGTTATTCATTTGGCGCAGAAAGCCAGCAATAGTTTTATGTAAAGTCATCACTAAATTGAATACAAGATGAATTGATAATGTAGAATGATCCATCAAAATGTTCTGACTTTGCTGTTGACTCATTTTGGATCAAGAAAGATTGTTGTCTAAGTTTGTGAAAAGCTCATTCCCTTTCTTTTGTATTTATACATTTTCCTTCCATACCAAAGACTTTATAGTTGGTAACCAGGATGAGATTAGTTAATCTTCAGTAATCTCTTAAAGTAAATAAACAAATCCTTATCTTCCTACTTTTTCTAGTTGTTCTATCTGTTAACGAGGAAGAAAGTAACTGGTTAGCATGAACTATCTATAAGCCTAGAATATATTCCCAAATTTATTCTTGTGATACATAAAAGTTTGTTTTAACAAGGTTACTCTCTATCTTGTTGACTGCCTTATGACATTAGCATTATAGTTCCTGAATTTTTCACTTTTATATATTTTTTTCTCTCTTTTCAACTGATTTGATCTCTGGGTTGCAATGCTGAGCTATAATGAAAGCTTTTTGTAGCCTTTATGTTCTTGTAGCCATGTGTGTTTCTGTTGTTAAACTATATACATGCCTTTCAGTTGACACCAACTTTTCTTTAAATTGTGGATAGTCAAAATTATTGATTTGCCTGAAACATCTAAGTTCAAAGTCAGAATGATAGCTTTAATTTTTTATAAAGGCAGCATTGCAGGTACTAAATTTTCATTGAGATGTAATTTTATGGATAATGTATTTACACATTCAAAACACTTTATTACCTTTGAGTTAAGCTATCTGTGTCTCATCCACCCTCTAATCCCTCTATTCCTAGTCCCTCTACATTCAAAGTATTTGCCTATATCCATCTTCCTCCCCGTTAGTTCCTGAAGCCCCTTTTCTCCTACTTTTTTCCAATACAACCCATACTCTCCTTTCCGGATTCCTCCCCTCCTGACACTCTTCTTAATACTTCACCTTCTTCCATAGTCCTCATCCCCCAGACTCTTCTACTCTTCTCCAACAGATATCTCTACCCGTATTACCCATTGATTATTTCATAATAGTTCTTTTACTAATTTTTCCTTAAAGCCATGTTCCCATAGCTTCCCCAGCAACAGATAAACCCATTTCATCCAGTTGCCCTATACCCCTAACCCTTTCCTTTATTGATCTCCGATTTACTTCATTTGCACCCCCTCAGTTCTTATACCATCCTATAACACTCTATAACTATTGACTTTCAACACTCTTTTCCCTAATCGTTAACTCATTTACCCTTTTCACCACAATACCTTACCACTGTGCCATATAACCTAAGATGTCTAGCACATTTATTTGTTTCAACCATTAACCATTACTAACTTGTTTAACATATTATCGGGCTTCTCTATATCCCTGTGGGAAACAAATAAGACAAGGAAGAATGAAGTCAGTAGGCCATTGTGTATACGATGAAAAGCATATGGGACTCAGAATAGCCACTTGTTAGAAGAACTTTGGTAAGACACTGGACCATAGTGCACAGCAGAAATCCTGAAGTGTGTCCAGGACAAGGACTTCTGGAGGCTCATGTACAAGTTTGATGGAACTTAAATGTTCCATTTTAGAATAGCATGTCCTCTCTCAGAGGTGAGAAGACCTGGCAGCGGCACAATCAGTGTAGGTGGCTACACCTACTACTGGTCAGGCCGCAGCGACGTCACCATCACCAGGGAGTAGCCCTGGCCATCTCCAGCAGACTCCAGCCCTCAGTAGTAGAGGTTACTCCAGTTGATGAGCGTATAATGGTAATGAGACTGAAGCTAGCATTTGGCTTCATGTCTCTTATTGCTGTTTATGCTCCTGCTGATGTTTGTAAACTTGACATGAAATAGATGTTCTGCGCCAAACTAGTGTCTATGTCAGACAGGTGTCCCCAGAGTGATATTTGTGTTGTCCTGGGTGACTTCAATGCGGTATCTGGTTGTGATTGAGCTGGCTATGAGATGTCTGTCGGTCCCCATGGTTCAGGAGCCGATACTGGCAGCGAGAATAGCCTCCTTTTCTGGGACTTTGCTAGGTCCCAGAAATTGAGGATTTCTGGCTCCTGCTACTAGTGCCCAGACCCACATCACTGGACATGCTACAGCGATGCAGGTAATGTAGCCAAGGAGATTGATCACATACTCGTTAGCACTTGTTGGAGAATCCTCCAGAATTGCAGGGTGTATAGGAGTGCCGAGTTCTGTGGTACTTACCATAGATTGGTTGTGGCTACCCTTACCAGCGGTCCAATGATCACCCCTGGGTGTTTCACTTGGACAGGCTGAGGGAGGGGAAATGTGCACAGGGGTTTGCTGAGGCAGTCTCTGGTTGTTTCACAGTGCTCGACAATCTGACTGACAATCTGTACTTCTGTGGGACACCTTCAAAAGCAAAACTCTTGATGCAGCTCAAGAGATGATTGGTGAACGCCCAAGAGCAAGACGAAATTTCATCTCACAGGAGACATTAGAGGCCATAGATGCTTGCCGTGCAACTCGTCTGGTAGGGGATCGGGATATGCACCATTCTCAGGTGCTCACAACTCGGTCACTGTTAAGAAGGGACAAGGAACAGTTTATTAGGAGTCTTGCAGAGGAGGTAGAAGGCCATTTCTTAGTAAATGACCTTTGTCCTGCATACCAAACCCTGAGAAAGCTGAACTCCAAGCCCTCTTCACAGGTGACAGCAGTTAGCTTAGTAGATGGCCAGATCGTCTCAGATCCTGTTGTGGTGCGGGAGCATTGGGCTGTGTATTTTGAGCAGTTGTACCAGGTTGACCCACCAACAGTTAATTTGGATGCGGGTAGTGCTGAGATTCCGTTGCCGGACCCACCCATCAGTGAGGATGCTCCCTCCCTAACTTGGCGATCTCCAAGCTGAAGAGTGGTAAAGCAGCAGGTATATGCGGCATCTCAACTGAACTGTTAAACGCTGGTGGTGAACCAATGACGTGGGGGTTGCATGTTGTCTTGGCTGCCATCTGGCGGTCTGGTACCGTTCCCCCTGACCTGTTGAGGGGTGTGGTCATCCCTCTCTTGAAGAGGAAGGGGGACCGATGGGACTGCAGCAACCACCGAGGCATCACACTGCTCAGTATACCAGGCAAGGTTCTTGCCCACATCCTTCTGAGACGTATCAGAGACCACCTACTGAGGCATCAGAGGCCGGAGCAATCTGGATTCACTCCTGGTAAATCCACAATAGACTGCATCCTAGAGTGCCATTGTGAGTTCGGGCATGGGCTGCTTGCAGCCAACATCGACCTCAAGAAGGCGTTCAGTACAGTGCATCAGGAATCACTCTGAGAGATCTTGAGACTGAGAGGAATTCCAACAAGGATAATTGAACTAGTAGCAAGTCTTTATACTGGTACTGAAAGTGCTGTAAAGTGTGGTGGGGGCCTGTCAAGCTTCTTTCCTGTTAGTTCAGGAGTGAGGCAAGGCTGTGTCCATGCACCAACACTTTTCAACACTTGCATGGACTGGATACTGGGCAGAGCCCAGTATCCAGTCCATGCAAAGTTCAAAGTCATTGTGGAGCATCTCTGGGCAATATCAAGGTTACCGACCTTGACTTTGCTGATGATGTTGCTATTCTATCTGAGTCTTTGGAATCCTTAGTAGTGGCTCTCAATGCATTGGGTCAAGAGGTCTTCTGGACCCAAGACCAAGATCCAGGACTTTGGGGACTGTTCAGTCGGTATGTGCTTCTGGTGAGGACATTGAAGTCACAGAGAGCTTTACTTACCTTGGTAGTGTTGTTCATAACTCTGGGCTGTCAGACCAGGAAGTCAGCAGACGGATTGGCCTGGCAGCAGGGGTCATGAACTCTCTCGACAAGAGTATTTGGAGAGGCCGGTACGAGTGCAGAAGGACCAAGCTACGTGTCTTCAAGGCCCTGATAGTGCCAGTTTTGCTATACAGTAGTGAAACCTGGACACTATCCTGCGCCTTGGAGTCTCAACATGATGCCTTTTGTAATAGGTCCTTGGGCTGGATCATGGGGTACTATTGGCGGGACCATGTGTCAAACCAACGGTTACATTGTGAGACTGGCGCAAGACCTATTACCTGCACAATCCGTGATCGCCAACTCAGGCTGATCCTGCCAACCAGGTTGACTCTGTTCGAAACAAACGTGGGTGGAGGAGGCCTGTGGGACAACCTAGGAAGTCGTGGCTTGAGCAGATCGATCAAACCTGTTGTGAGGAGCTTGAGATGAACTGAGTCCTAAGCAAAGGGTGGATTTGGCTATGTGCCCCCGTCGGCATTAGCTCCGCGATGATGATGATATGATGATGTATATATGTATGTATACGTATATATATATACGTATATGTATACGTATATGTATACGTATATACGTATATGTACGTATATGTATACGTATACGTATATGTATACGTATATGTATACGTATATGTATACGTATATATACGTATACGTATACGTATACGTATATGTATACGTATACGTATACGTATACGTATATATATATATGTATAACGCATATATATATACGTATATATATATATATATATATATATATATATATATATATATATATATATATATATATATATATATATATATATATATATATATATATATATGTATATATATATATATATATATGTATATATATATATATATATATATATAGTATATATGTATATATATGCTATATATATATATATATGTATATATATATTATATATATATATATATATATATATATATATATATATATATATAATATATGTATATATATATATATATATATATATATATATATATATATATATATATATATATATTATATATATATATATATATTATATGTATGTATATATATATGTAATATCGATATATGTATATATAGCATTGACTTTAACTTACATTGTGGTATTGATCATTATT